GAGGGAAAGAGGGGCTCTGTGCAGCAACAGTGGGTCGGTCCCCGCTGAGCCCGCGAGCGGAGGGCGAGTCCCGGCTCGCCTCTCCTTTCCAAGGACAGAGCCAAGCCGCGTGGTCGTAGTGCTTGGCTGGCGCCTTGTGTGGGGTGGCAGCCCTGTTAGTGGGGTGGGGGTCAGGGTGTACCTGTATCGGAGAGGAGGGGCCTCGTTGGCTTCTGGGACCAGGGCTGCCCTGTAAGTCAGGGCCTGGCCCGTGCCCTGCAGTCCCGAGCACTTTGCAGTCCCAGCAGCGGCTCGAGCCCCCTGTAAGCGGGGGCGCAGCCTCTGTGGACGCCGCTTTGCATGCCCAGTTCCACTTGCCCAGAGTGCCCTACTCCGAGCCCAGCTTCAGCACCGGCTGCGACTCCACATGTGGCAGCACCGGAGCACCGATTGGGTAAGAAAAGCCGATCTGTGAGGGTTCTTTTGGGGAGGCGGGGGTATAGGGGTGTGTGAGGGTGGCCTGTGTTCAGATGGTGCTGTGGCCAGCTGTTATCCAGGACCGTTGTCGCTCTCAGACCTGACAGCTTCCTCCTGCTCTCGCAGCAGTTGGTTGTGGAGAAGAAGGGAGAGACATCCACGATGTGCAGAAGGACCTGCGAGGCAAGAGCGAGCGGGAAGAATAGCGGCAGCGGTCCGCCAAAAAGGTGAGAGAAAGCCCTCCTGGGCAGGGGATCTCCCTGTCACCTGGGCCGTGGTTGCCTCAATATCCCTGCCCCTGTGGGGATGTTTTCTTTGCCTCATGAGCAGGTACTCGGCTCTTGGTAGTTCTCCAGTTTTAGAAACTGCTCCAATTCCATCTGATGATGACCCCACTTCCTGAAGTTTTCTCAGAACTCCTTTTTGTACTTGGATGTGGCTGCACCAACTGTGGCGAGCGGGGGGGCTCTGCAGACACCCACCCGAAGTGCCCTTTGAGGCTGTGTGGGATGCCGGGGGAAGAGCAGTTGGGAGCAGGGATTTGGAGGTGGTTTCCCCTGCTCTGAGTGCTTCTCTTGCAGCACCTGTACAGGGAAGGAAGCGGCTGGATCTCAGCCTCTGGAGGAGCACGTTCCTCTTCCCTGCCCCAAAAGGGCGTTTGTGCCCACCCTTTCCCCATCTGTTCAGTGCCAGGGATGCTCAATCAAATGCTTTCTCCAACTGCATGTTCCCCATTTAGCTCCTTTCCTGCTCGACTCGCCTTTAACCACTGCCAGCCACATGGCGCTGCACGTGGGATTTTAACCTTTGGCAGCCACTGGAATGGTTGCTCTGTGTGTTGGTCTTGGCTGCTTGAAAGAGGACTCTCGGGGTGAAGAGCTAAGGCTTGGACAATAGGGCCAAGCCAGAGTTGGCCTGTAGATGAGTCCTGTGTATTTTATAACTGATAACCATTGTATTAACAGGTATTTTACTAAGTGATAACCAACCCCCTATTCCAATGTAAAAAGTGGAAGTATTGAAGCCTGAACAACAGGCCCTGAGCCGAAGCTGCTCACTCAGTGTGTCATCGTTAGTGAAATATGTGTGGAAGACGTAGCTCTCTTGAATGTATATTTATCTATCTTTGTGTGTGGATAAAATACCCGGGTCGTGGAGACCATAGTCTGGCCTGACATGAGCCCTTGCACCTAGTCCGCCTGGGTAAGCAGAGGAACTCCCGAGCTTCTCTCCCGAGCCCTGGCCAGGCTCTGGGGGAATCTAATGTGAGATTGAAAGCAGATATTTCCACTCCAAAGCAAGGTGCCAGCTCTTCTGGCTTGCTGATTTTGGGGTATGTAAGGGTGGACCCGCTCACAGCGACTTTGGAGGCCTCAGCTACGGGTGGACGCACCGCGTAGGATTTCCCACTTGCCGGGAAAGGCTCTGCAAACCCTCGCTGTAACCGGGGCTGCCCGCGGGTCTGGGTGATGGCAACGGGTGCAGGTGCTGAGGGATCTTTCTTAATCGCTGTTCCCTCTCTCTCAGGTGGTCAGGATTTGATGAATTACCCTGTTATTTGCCTATTTGTGTGAGTGCACTATTCTGTCTTTTCTTACTGCATGCTTTCTGTATTTTTCTGTTATTATTTAGCTATTTCTAATAAAATACATCTGCTCCTTTCACTCTGCTGTCCGAGTTTGATATCCCTAATCAGCAAAACAGGGGGAGATCAGGTGGCGCTTTCCAGAGCCGAGGTTGGCATTGGAGTGATTTGTGTCGGTTTGGCTTTGGGCTGAGCTGTAGCCGCCGCGGCACTAGTTCTTGGCAAGGGGCTGGACGTGGGAGCTGTTGGGGTCAGAGCTGCGGTAAATTTAATCAGACAGCTTGCTTGGGTTCTCCAGCTCCTAGCGTACGCTCCAGAAGAGTGGCTGAAAGTGGGCAGTTCATGGATTTATCTGGGGTTTTTTAAAAAAACTCTTTCTGCTATCACCAGGATTTGAAAAACTAAATTGGAAAATGTGAGTTTAGGAAAAATCTCTAACAATCTGTGTGCTTTTAATAGTTACTGTACTGGTCTCCCAGGGACTGAAGTTACACTATTTTGTCCTTAAAACAACTTTGCGCTCCCCATTGCTGTTGCTTTTGTCTCCCTCTATGCCCTGTTCTTTGTAGCTTTTTTCTTTCTCCCATCTTGCTTGGTCTAGCTCCCTGCATACCCCCCCCCCC